CATCATGACATCAATCACGTAGCATCATGGCATCAATCACGTAGCATCACGGCATCAATTACGTAGCATCATGGCATCAATCACGTGACATCATAGCATCAGTCACGTAACATCATAGCATCAATCACGTAACATCATAGCATCAATCACGTAGCATCATAGCATCAATCACGTAGCATCATGACATCAATCACGTAACATCATAGCATCAATCACGCAACATCATAGCATCAATCACGCAACATCATAGCATCAATCACGTAGCATCATAGCATCAATCACGTAGCATCATGACATCAATCACGTAACATCATAGCATCAATCACGTAACATCATAGCATCAATCACGCAACATCATAGCATCAATCACGCAACATCATAGCATCAATCACGTAACATTATAGCATCAATCATGTAACATAATAGCATCGATCACATCAACGTAACTCATTTGTATTTATTCTGCAGTAAGCAATTTTTTTCAACAAGTTATCTACGTAATTCCCAGTTGTACGCTATGAGGTACAACTTGTTACGCTTACTACGTAAGATTAAAATAGTATATTAATAGGTTTTGATTTACTTAAACAGTCGTTTGTATACCAATCCTGTCAACAATTTCATGTTATAATGGAATTTTTTCTGAAAAAGTAAACTTTGAGAATTAAGAAAAAGTCCTCTAATTTTTTAAATTCTTTTTAAAATGTCATTTTTTTGAAATATGATTTGTAAAAATGTTTCTTTCATGAAAAGTTAAAAAAATTTATTTCAAAAATGAACTTGAAAATTGCATACATAGGTTCATTTTCTTTTTCTTTTTTTTTTCATTATAAATTAAAAATGAAACCAAAATTGAAATTAATGAAATTAAATTCGTATTTTATTTCTTAATATATATATGGAAATAATTTAAAATATCAATTAATATTATTCCAAAATGACAAACTTTACATTCAAAGGTATTTAATTCTATTAAAAAATCTTTAGTCATTTGCTCTATGTATTATTAATTTTAAACTGAATTTTAAATTAGTCAAATTTTATTATTTTTATAGAAGTCTTTCCTGTTGTGTTACCTGTTGACACCGTAAAGAAAGTCCTACATGGGAAAGTGTTAACAATTTGGTGATGGCGCAAATGACATGTCGTGAAAGACGAAAGATTTAAATTATTATATCCAAAACTAACAAATTACTCTTATCTGATTCCTTTTCCTCACACAACAAAAACCCTTTGTTAGCAAACTCTTTGTTAGCAAAACCCTTTATTAGCAGTCTTTGTTTCACATCAGTTAAATATCCTCTGTCGGATATCTGATCAGCTCAGTTATGCATATAAACCATTGTCCTCCATACGGTGGTTCATTCTGCATTTTGGGGTGGTTTTGATATCGTTTTAATGTTTTATATCGATGATTCAAGGCGCTAATGTTGTCAGTGTCGATGTGTATGACTATGAAGAAATGCAAATGGACCAATTTTTTCTTTGGTTTCCCAGGAAAGAAAAAAAAGTTATTCAAATAGAATAAGAGAAATTAGACTGTTGTTAACTAAAAAGGAGATAAAAGTTAGTAGAAAAGGTAAACAATTAATAATTAAGATATGTAAACAAAAAAATGTGAAATTTGGAGGAGAAAGAAAGACAAATATTTTAATTTTAGAGAAATGAAGGATTAGTATCACAAAAATTGATTGTAAATTTTTATCAAAATTTGATTACACAAAAGGAATGAATGCATAATTAATTTAAAGATATTTGTTATTTGAATCAAATTTTCAACAAGGTGTAGTAGATTTGACAGAATAGGAAGATTTATTTAAATTTGTCAATTAGCTCGGATGAAAATTGGTTTAATTAATTAATAAGACATTAAAATTTATAGCTTAGCATAGTTTAACATTTAAATGATTAAATTGTTGCATTCGCTTAGATATATTAAAAACGCAGAAGTTATAAAACTGTCTCAGAAGTTTTAAGTTTTATAAATATACCAAGAATGGAATAAAGTTAATCCAAAATTGATTAACATTTAACATAGATTTAAAAAAGCTAACTTATCATTTGTCTTTGTTTATGATAACTGATAAGGAGCTATTGTTGCAGCTATTTATATTTTTAATGTTTTGGTATTAATTTTTCGATGGTTTCAGCGATAGTTTATTTACAAATCCTACAGTCATTAATTTTTTGAATTCATGAGCAGGTGGTTGAATTAAAAATATTTTCAAGAAAAACCGAAATTCCATAATGTTTATCTACTCGCAAAGTAACTTTGAGAATATTTTTAAATCAAGAATCTGTCCTAAAAAAATTCAGCTTTCACCTAAAAATTGCAAATTTATATTTTAAATGAATGAATGAGTGAGTAAACAAAATAAATGATTAATCAGTTAAATAAACAAAAAAATAAATGAATAAACAAATTTTGAAATAGAAAATACTTGGAATAGAAAATTAAATCAAAATTTTAATTATAACAAAATAAAATTAGCGACAAAATCATAAAAATTATTACTGCTATTGTATTCTTATTAATTATTTATAGCTTATTGATTTTAATTCTATTGAATGCATAAGTTTTCTCTTTTTTTTTTGAATTTTCAAAAATGTTTCAAAAAATTTTGGCTAATTGAAATCAAATTTAATTCTAACGTTTATTCTTAAGTTATACCAGAATTGTTATTTTTTGATGATTATGTTGGATTTATTTTAACAAAGTTTCATTATTTTTTTGCTATTACTTCAACTTCTAAAAAAATTCTTAAATATGTTTTAAAATTTCAAAGATTTTGTTTATCCCATATTTTACCGCATTTTATAATTATAAAATTTTATCCTATAAAATTAGTTATGAAACCAAATATCGCTTAGTGTTGAAGTTTTTAAGTTCTAATTGAAAAAGTAGTTGATAATTGAAATTTTTAAATTTTTTTTAATTAAAATATATATTACTTTATTTCATTTCAATTTACTGAATTCTTATTGGAATATGACAATATCTTTAGCGAACGTTTGGTTTTCTATTAGCTATTTGTCGGGACACTTGGCTCTTGAAGTATACTCTTGATCTTGACCTTTTGATCTTGACCTTATATTCTTGAAACTTAAGCAAATTTTGGTAACATTTTTAAAATTTTAAATCTAATTTCAGACTGTACTGATGGTTTTAATAAATGTGTTCTTTACTGCTATTCACTTCTCCTATTTTCTTATGGTGAATCGAATACCTCACACTGTCAACTTTTCGGCTCACCAGCCAATGTTTTAGTACTATCTTTCCATGGTTGCTAACTTTTCGCCGAAAAATACCTTTCCTTTTTTTTTTAAAAAAAACTGAAAAGATAAGTGAAATTGTTATGGTATTTTTGATTAATTAGCAGCAGATTTAAATTAAAATATATATTACTTTATTCAATTTCAAATTTACTGAATTGTTAAATTCAATGAAATTGTTTTTTATTTTTCTCTTTCATAAAATAAGTGAACAATTAGTAAATAAAATGGTGTAAGAATAAATAATTTTTGAGACATTTAGATCATTTGTTCAATAAATGACCAATGGCATTCTAAAGTGACCAACGAATCATTGAACAAAAAACAAAACAACAAAAAACTTTGTTATTATTCGATAGTCTTCCAAATTCAGAAATCTATGATTGGTCATTTTATACATTTGTGACATTAACTATATTTGTCCTTGAAAATACTTGTCGCCATAATGCAAAGAAATAAATTATGCCAAATTGAATTATGACCTAATTTTGTGTGCAAATAATAGAAGAAAGCAAAAAAAAAAAATATTTGCGAGGTCAATAAATCAATTTTCTACCAGAAGCTTAATTGACATCAATCAATAAATATTATTCCCAGTAGTTTTTTTTTTTTATTTATTTGATCTTTAATTAAAATATGTAGCATTCATTGTGTGTTATAGAAGATTTAGTTATTTATTTATGTAAAATTTATTATAACAAAATAATTTCTTAGCTAATAACAAAAGTTATAATTCATTGTTAATACAACAAAATACAACAAAAATGACAAAAAAAACATTATTAACACTACTGCTATTATTTTATTATCATTATTGTTTTTATTGCTATTATTTGTTATTGTTAATATTATTTATTTATTATTATTATTATCATATTATTATTATTACTATTATTATCATATTATTATTATTTGCTATCGTAATAGCATTGTTATCATTGTAAGCTGAATATTTTCAAACATACTTATCAAATGAACCGTAATTAAGAAGGAATGTATGAGGAATGATTCTTTTAACGAATTAAATTAAAGTGGTTGACAATAACTTGTAATACAATTTGATAACCTTTACAATGAAAGTCAATTTTTGAATTTAATCCATTTAAATTCAACTAACTTAATTTTTAGTCTTACTGTTTTATTGTATCTATTAAGATAGTTACAAATTATTACAGTAATTTGTTATTATCTAGCACGTAAGTACCACGTATTTACCTTTGTTATTATCTAGCACGTAAGTACCACGTATTTACCTTTGTTATTACATAGTATTTGTCCACTTTTTCCTTAATCCGTAATGACGTGACGTGCTGAACTACAAAAGTAAACGTTATAATAGTAAAAAATAACGTAAAATAAAGCAACGAAGAAAAAAGAAAAAAAAAAGATACCATTAACAACAAATAAATAAAGTATATTTTGTGGAATGTTAGATGTAATTACTGCATGTATAGCTTAATAGGAAAAGTAAACGTCGCATTATAATAAGTTAATTAGGTAAAATGTTAGTCTCAGAGGCAAAAGTTAAATACCAAATGAAAATGATATTAATCAAATATAAATTAAATTAAAAATTGATGTTTAAAAAAGTGCAATTTTAATTTAAAAAGAAAAAAGAAATGTGTTAATCGAATTGTGTTTAATTTTTAATTTTTTTTTCTTTTTTAAATTAATATCCTAAAAAAAAATTGGAATGTTGGAGTATGAGAGATGATGAGTTAATTAACCTAATAATGATAAAATAATGCCATCTTTCGACTAGAAAGTTTAGAGTAAATAATTGTTGCAATAGCTATTGATATTGACAATAATGAAAATGCTGATAGAATCCACATGCTTAACACTGGTATGCATACATTTTCTTCATTGTGATCCTTTATTAAATTTGATTTTGTTAATTGTTCGGGTAAATCTGTAAATTGAAATTTTTTTTTAATTTCATTAAATTTTTTTTCTTCTTTTTGCATTAATAATAATTAATGAATAATTAAAGTAATGATAATTATGATAAATAAAATGAAAAAGTGCAACTGTCAAAGTCTCGAATAAATGACATTTCTCATTCTTTTCCCTCTTTTCCTTTTTTACCTTCTCTCAATTTTTCTTTTTTTCTTCCTGTTAATTCCCTGAAATTTTTAACAAAAGACCAAATATGACAGAAAGGAATAATTATTGAAATTCTTCAATGAACAACAACAAAAGGTTAACAAAAGCAAACACACACACACACACACACAGTTGTATTCGAATTTTGTTACTTTTGAAAATTGCTAAATGATATTTCGGAAGAATTAATACTTACCAAAACCTTCTTCGAGAATTTTTAGCTGTTGTGTGGCAACATCCAAGTCAACAATATTATAATTATTTTCAGAAATTGTTCGCCGCCCTCTCGTCGAATTTATTTCTCTGATAATTTCAATCCCAGAAGTTGTCATTGCAGCTGTTGTTGTTGTTGTTGATGATGATGACGCTGTTGTTGGCGTTGTTGTTGCTGTTGTTGTTGTTGTTGTTGTCGTTATTGTTATCATTGTTGTCTCTAAGATTTTAGTTGAACTTCCAACGTTAGTGAGAACAATATCAGGAATAGCTATGCTTCGTTCATTTGTTACATTTAACAAATTTTCATTTTCACCCGAACCTGTAAACAACAAACTTGTAAACAATAAATCTATTTCACAAATAATTTAAAAAATATTGAAATTTTGTACAAATCCATAAATCAAAGATAAAGCAAACTACTTCACAAATATGTAATTTTACTTTTTATCATATATGAATTCACACCTGTATCATTCGACACTCAACTGCTAATTAAATTAATTAATCAAGTAAAGATATGAAAAAAAAATGTATTTCTATGTTTGTTTATTTCTTTAGCTAAGAAAAGTAAGCTCGCAAAAAAAAAAAACAAACTTAACCAAATAGTAAAAATAAATAACACAAAGAAACAATTAACCTTCTATATCGTAACTAAACTCTTTGTTACTCTCATTTTGTTGTATGCGAAATTTCGAAAATTTGTTTTGCTTCGGAATTTCATCCAAAAAAATTTCTGATGATTTTGCATCAGATAATTTCACTGTAGCAGTAATATGATCAGTGAATAGTGAAGTGGTGGATAAAGTTTGGAACTCAGATGAATTCTTGGATGACGGAGAAATTGTCACATCTGGCAGAGTGCCCTGGACAATTCGAACAGTATTCGATGTGGCCAATGGACCAGTGGTTGTGTACAGAAGTTGGTCATTTTGTAATTCATCTTCGATATGATTTGCTTCATTTTTCGAATTTGTTGGAATGAAAATTTGATCATCGCAACGTGGTGGCTGTAAAAGTTTATTTTCATTTGTCGAACTGACAATAAAATAGTAAATAATTAATTAATCATAAAATAGAATGATAAGAAATAAACAATAAACAATAAATGGTAAATAAAAGTTAATAGCAATACATTTAAGCTTTGTAAAAAATACTTCGTTTGCAGGAATCATTAAATGAACAAATCATCAAATAAATACAGATTTAGCATAAAAATGTTCTGAATTTTTTGAATTTTTCCATAGAGAGAGAGAGAGAGAGAGAGTAGAAAAAAGATATTTTAAATTACCGTCACATTGGTACAGTAATCTCCTTTCTTGAAACATAATTTCACTTGACAACTGAAATAAATCGATTCTCGATCCGGAAGATTTACAACACTAGCTCCCTGAAATATGGTAAAAGTTATTCGAAATCTTAAAAAAAATAGCAGTTATTAAATGAAAGAAAAATTGTCAACTAAAATGTTGATCGATCTGAGATTACAATCGAAGTAAAAATAGAAAATGAATATGCAAAACATTTGGTATTTCATTAATTAATTAATTAATTAATTGAAACAAGAAAATGAATACAAAAATATAAATATTCTACTAACCGCAAAACTACGAGTAAGTTCATTAGAATATGTCAATTGTGGAATGATAAAATCATCTGTTGAACATCTGCAAAAACTTATATTTACTTAAAATTCATTAATCTACTTAAAAAAAAAAAAAAAGAAAATCATTTTGTTCTTTAATTTCAATTTAAATATCAAATGTTAATGTATTTTTATGGTTTCAATTAACATTTAATATCTTTAATAATACTTATAAAAATTTTAATAAATTCAAATAATGCAATTAAAATTTAAATATTAAAAAATTTCTACCCATTTTCATTGATAACTTGATGCTCCCCGCCTTTTCCATCCAAAATATAACAACTATGAATGAGCATTGCATAAACATCTGATGGACAGTCCCAAACATGAAATACGATGTCACCTACTCGACCATATCGTAATACCGGTCCATTCGGGGAATCTCGATGTAACGTATAAGAACACTGAGGCATTGCATGTCCTGATTCAAGCATTGATGTGGTTAAATCGCTGAAGAAAAAAAAAAAGATAAACAAATTATTAATTTCATCAAAAATTTTGATTTATAAATTTTTATTTTGAATTTTTGTTTTGCGAAAAAAAAAAGTTTTTCATATCTACTATAATTACAAATCATTTCTTTTCTTTTCTTTTCTAACAAATTTCAACTTTTTAATTTTTATTTGAAAATTAAACTGAAAGTATTAAATTGAAAAAAAAAAAAGGTTATTGTGGGAAAAATTAGAAGAAAAATAAAAAGTATAAATTGTGAGAATATTTATATGATTTCTTTACATGAAAGATAATTGAATCATTTTTACATTTAAAAAGAAATGGAAAAAAAAAAAGGAAAGAAAAGGAAAAGGAAAAATTTGTCAATGACAAGAAATAATTTAATATCATTTATGGTAATTTTTTTTTTGTAAATAAAATGCATTTCTTTTTTTTTTTTAACTATTAAAAATAAAAATAAAGAAAGAATTGTAGTGACAAAAACAAAATAATAAGTTTAACTGTCACATATCTTTTGACTTTTTCCCATTAAAATAAATAATAATTCAGTTGTTTCTCTTTTTTTTTTTTCTAACTGAAAATGCCAACAAATAAAAATTATTAAAGCAATTTGATTAGAGATCATAAACTAGAATTATTCATTCAAGAAATTCAAATAATTACTTTTTTTTTTTTTGATATTGAAAACATTTTGCACAATGGTTTTTCAAGGTTTCGTTAATTTTTAAAATTCATAAATTTTACTCCAAAAATAAAATTTATTCCTTATTTTCGAGACTATTATTTTCTTAATTTTCTATCAATTTTATGTAACAATTTCTTTTCTTTTTATTTTTTGCCATATTTACTATGTCAACTTCCCTTGTCCTACTGTTTCCTTTTCAGGACAATGTTTATTTTGGAACAATTTGAAAAAAAAACATCTTTTATATTTTGACCTCTCTCAATCTAATATTTACGAATTATTGTCCTCATTTTTTCATACCCAAATAAATAAGTTCAAATGAAAGATCATTTTGAAAAAATTTAATTGCAATAAAAAAATTATTCAAACTTATTATTATGTTGTATGAATATAAGTTTTTTGTCTATTTCGTTGTTTCTTTTTTTAATTTCAAATAAAATAGAATGATTAGATTTTGTTAAATTTTTAATTAAATTTTGAATTTTTTTTTTTTAATTAGAAAAGTATAATACATACCTAACTTTTAATTCAGCATCAACCTCCTTATTCTCTTCCATATAGAAACATCGAACATTATAAGCTCGATCCACTTTTGTAATAAATAACTGCAAAGTTTCATTTTATCATAAGCAGAAGGAATTTATTATTATTATTATTACTTTATTAGAATCTTAGACTTAGATTCAGATTTAAAGTTTATTTCTGATTTTTTTTTGCAAATCTATTTGAAATTTACCGGATGAAGTTGTACAATAACTGTAAATGAATAAGCCATTCCACGTGGATTTACCTGCAAATTAAAATGACTTCTTGAATGATATTTTTCATTGCTGTTAATAAATCTCAAATTGAGAATGTAATTGTTAAAAAAAATTTTAATGATTATGCTTACGTACTTCACGTTTCCTATTCACGTCACACTGCTCAAAATGGAATGTTGCATGATCGGTTTGCTTGAAGTGACAACCATCTTTGTGAAAATGACCTTTGGCAAAGATATACGATGGTTTTTTGGATGTTGTTCGCACTCGTACTGCTATAGTACCTTGTCCACATTCTACTTCTGGTTGATCTAAAATTAATTTCAAAAATTTCTCACTTTTTTTAATAGGTTTTTATGAAAACTTAAAAAAAGTTACTTCTCAATGTTTATTTAATCAAATTTATTTTTTATTAAAACTTAAACCTCAATTACTAGTCAAAATCTTCTTGTGTAGCAATTCTTAAAAATTTCAAGTTTTATGAAAAAAAAATTACTTCAATAATTCAATAGTTGAATAAATTGTTGGAAAATTGCCATAAAATTTTATTTTTCAAATCTCTCAGAGCTTTTTTTTTCTTTTCTGTTCATTAATTTTTTTTGTAAAATATCAAATCTTTTCAAATATTAATCAAACATTATTGAGAAATAATTTGATGAGACAAAATTTGGTGACAATCTTACGCGGCCCCATTGGCGCAGTCGGTTAGCGCGTCGTACTTATAAGTGAACGAAGAGATGCGAAGGTCAGCAGTTCGAGCCTGCTATGGGGCATGAGCGTCTTTTGCAAAAACTATTGCCACATTCATATGAGAATTACTTAACTAATTCGTTTTAAAAAATTTAAAGAATGTGTAATTTTTTTCATTTTAAGTTCATTTTTAACTTTTTTAAAAACCAAGCAATTAAAGGTAATCACAAGGTCAATGGATAAAATTTTAGTGGTTTTTATAGAAATGATTAAAATAATTATTGCAATATATCACATCAATGAATGAAAAATATTTAGGTTCATAATTTAGATCGATTAAAAATTTAAAGTAAGTCAAATTTTTTAATGAAAAACATTGAAATTTTAGTGTTAAACAAATACTGAAATTTTAGTTACGCCAAAATAATAATATTTGTTATGTACTATTTCCAACATATATTTTATATTTTGCATATATGCTATAGCAAACAATTGAAAAATTTATGTAAATTACAAAAGGAGCAAAATGATTTTCAAATTTCAATTTATTTATTTATTTATTTTTTCTCATTGCTTTAATATCATGCGCCTTTGTTGCTGAATGCATGTGAAGGTCAGAATTGTTCTTTTTCCACAAATTTGTACCTTAGAGCTATAATTTTTGTATTTGAATTTATAGCATTTTTTGACAATTCAGTCTAATTATTTGTAAATTTTGTTAAAGATTTCAGAATTTGAATTTTAAAAGTACACAAATATCAAAGAAATAATAGGTTTTTTCGGTTTTTTAATTTTTTTTTTTTTTTTTATTCATAGCTGCAAGTGAATTTTTGTTTGCTAACAATACTTTTGAAGTGAAATTCAGTAAAAGTCATCCAAACGATCATCCAATTTAAATTTGTCATTTAAAATAGTAAAACACAGATGGAACGATCGAACATTGAGGAATGAATACTTAATGAGCTGTGAAGTTAACAACCTTGAATTGCGTTATTGAACACCGAAGCTGTTGCTCGTACGCTCGTAACAATAAGTGATACGATTACCGATACAAATAGAGCCGTTAACATTTCTAAAAATTGAAATTTTTCTTTTTTTCTTTCAACAACGACAATTTTTTTTTTTTTTTTTGAAAAAGAAAACAAAATAATTTGATGATTTGTTCAATGAACGATTAAATTGTCATACAAATATCTAAGTTTTTTATTTAATTAGAATTTAAATTACATTTAAATTGGGGGTATTAAAATCCAAGATAAAAATTGAGAAATCAATTAATCAATGATAATGAAATGAAACTGATACATGGATCTACAGCTGTATATTATTATTTACAGTATCTACCTTGTTTATCTTTATTACGGTACAGAAATGAGAATACTGTAAGTACGGTATAAAAATATTGCATTTAAATTGGGGTATTAAAATCCAAGATAAAAATTGAGAAATCAATGATAATGAAATGAAACTGATACATGGATCTACAGCTGTATATTATTATTTACAGTATCTACCTTGTTTATCTTTATTACGGTACAGAAATGAGAATACTGTAAGTACGGTATAAAAATATTCCGGTAGTAATCTTTGATATTAGTAATTTTTTTACTGAATGTGTTATTTCATTTATTTTCATAGTAATTTTAAATGCTTGAGTTGCCTTTTTTTGTCCTAAATATTTCCTAGAATTTGGCCTGTAATTAAATTTACTAAAGCTCAGAAATCTGCAAAAAATACCTTAGCAGACAATAATAGCATTTATAGAGTAATGATAATAATGATAATGATGATAAATGAAGGTGACAAATTGAAATCGTTGTAAAAACATTAAAAAAATACATAAAAACACTAAACTGCAAGAAATTTCAATGACCCATTTTGAAATAATTAATTTGGAAATAATATTACTCACTGACAAGTGCAGTTTTTAAAATTGAAAGTTAAGAAAGTTAGAAGGAAGTATTTAGATATTTCATCCTTATCAATTTTATCTGTTCTTAATTAATACTTAAATCACTGATTAAAGCTTCATTACTTACTTATATTTCTTATTTTCATTCTTTTCATTATAATTGTTGTTTTAGAATTACTTTACAAATTTTTAAACGATCAATAAGAATGGAAACAATAAGATTCTGAAACAATAACAAAAAATCTTGTTTCTTCTTATTTTTTTAATCAAAGCATTTCACAAAAAATTTATTAATGTATGGCTGCTAATTTATTAAATGCTAATATTTTTCATTGAATACGATGTCAATCTGATATCATCAATGTAGTACGTGTTTTTCTTTGACGTGATTCACGTTCACCACGTTTGATTCTAGATATACTAATCAATGATTGTTCTTATCAGTGTACTGCTGATATAAGGTTGATAAATATATGAAAGATCAAACAATATCATTTTTCTTTTCATTTCAAGTCGAAGCAAATATGAAAATTAAGGAAGAACAATATGAATATATAATTAAAAATAAGAGCATGATTGATAATTAAGATGGAAAATAATTAAAATTTGAAATTAAAATCAATCAATCAATCCTTGCTGTAAGCTAAATGTAAAAACGAAAGTTTAAATAATTAATAGAAAGTTGCATCAAAATAAAATAAAATTTAAAAAAAAAAAATTAAGAAAAAGTGAAGTGATTGAAAGATGTTATCATAACTAAAATTATAATGAAAAAATGGACAATTTTATTTGTGATAATTTTATTAGAGTATAAGAAGTGAAGTTTTATCATCAGCAAATGCGAGAATAACTTTAAGTCAAAATAGCATGAAAATTTATAAAGTTTTCCGAGTCAAAATTAGTTTTAATTTGGGCTGATTTTTGAAAAGACCCACCTTTTTTTTCGTTATATACCTTTACTTCTCTCTCTCTCTCTCTCTCTCTCTCTCTCTCCCACTCCACCTTTTTCTTTGAAAAAATTGGAAACAGATTTGCAACCTTGTACTCAACCTTGTACTACTTTACATTATTTTATGTATGGAAGAAAAAGGACAATATTGAAAAGAGGAATGAAATAAGAAAAATTGAAACGGAAGAAATTAATTGAAGGAAATGATAATTAGCTAATTTGTGAAATCATAAAAATTAAAACACATTTGAAAATTTATTTAAACTATTCTGTTACTAACTAAAAATTATTATTTGCACTATACAGTTTCAAGGAAATAATCTATAAAATTTGACTTAGAAGGAAAACATCATAAACCTTGCATATTCCACAGGATCAGTAATTCGGTGTTCATTTTAAAATATATTAGTAATTCGGACTTGATTTTAAAATATATTAGTAATTCGGACTTGATTTTAAAATATATTAATAATTCGGACTTGATTTTAAAATATATTAATAATTCGGAGTTGAATTTAAAATATATTAATAATTCGGACTTGATTTTAAAATATATTAGTAATTCGGACTTGATTTTAAAATATATTAGTAATTCGGACTTGATTTTAAAATATATTAATAATTCGGAGTTGAATTTAAAATATATTAATAATTCGGACTTGATTTTAAAATATATTAGTAATTCGGAGTTGAATTTAAAATATATTAGTAATTCGGAGTTCATTCTAAAATATATTGCTTAACAATTATTTGTTTCTGTTTTGTAATCAAAATTAATATCCTAACTGAAACAAAAAGTTTGGAAAACTTTCGATCATTATAGAATACCTTATTGCAGCTAATAATAGATGCATTACATAAAATGTTCATTCAACATTAAATCAATAAATCGGAGAGAAAAAAAAACGAACTTTTTAAATACTAAATTTCTAAAAACAGCGTTTTAAAAATTTCAAGTTCGAATCACTTAAATTTCAAGACTTAATATTGTTAAATCAAAAATTGATGTATTTTTTAGAAAGGCAAAATTGCTAAAATTCAATCAAACTAAAGCGATTATTAAAAATGCAAATTTGCACAATCGAAATAATATGTGACATTTTTCAAAATAATGTCAAATGAAAAAAAAAGAAACGATATGATGCAGAGGAAAGTGATCTGTTTCCATTTATAGAAATGATTAATTATAAGATCTACTTCCGGAGTACACACCACATCTATTCATTTCATTTTTCTGATTTCGTCGTTTTTTCGCTTCGTTTTTGCTTGGCTCAAAAATTTAGCTTTTAGCAATTTAAATATTAATTTTAAATTGTAATAAAAAACATTAAAAAAAGTGACAATTTAAATTTTAAAAACTTCAAAAATTCATTTAAATATTATCAAGGGAAGAAGTGTAGGATGATCACAAATGTTATTTTCATCATTTCTAAAGTTTAATATTACCATATAATCATAAAACAAACAACATTCGAAAAATTAACCTTCGCATAGTGAATTCAAATGGAAAGAAAATATTCAACAAATGGACAGTAGCCACTAAAGGTTGAAGGTCAAGCGATAAATAATGTTTGTATGATGAGAAATATTTTATGAGTACTTTTGCATTGGTATTGTCTTCTTCTATTGGTTGAATATATTAAGGAGAAGGATAAGAATATTTTCTAATATCAATTTAATATTATTTATTTCCTATGCAGTAAATAAATTACAAAAGGTTCAACTGACCTTTTTAATTTCAGTAGCAAATGCTAAAATTACTGAAAGAATGAAAGTTTGAAGAGAATAAATAAGAGAAAAAAGGAAAGAGTAGAAAGAAGGAGAAGGAGAAGGAGAGAACAGGTGAGGAGGAATATAAGTTCATTTTAGATGAGTAGTTCATGTGATGTTAAGGATGCTTTTGAAGAGAGAAATTTGTACATAGAAAAGACCGCACAATTAACCTTCACATAAATGATTCTTAATGAGGGACAATAAAATACGAATATGTCGTATAACAAAGAGTTTTGATATCAATAAACTGCCAAATAGTTACTATCAGCCGAAGTGTCAGTTGAAAATAAAATACTCTTAAAAGTGTTCAGATATGGATGGGATGCTGTTAATTTGAAATCTATTTGAAAAACTAAATGTTAGTTAAAACTAATATCGTATTATATCACAGATAATAAAAAATTATTATATCAGATTGATATTGTGATAAATTTATGACAAAAATATTGGTGTACAATCTTTCTTTCAAATTTAAATTTTTCTCCAAAGACAAATATTTCTAATTTAAATCCTCCAAAAGGTAATGATTGGAATTAATTTCAATGCTATTTTTAGAATTTCAACAATAAATTCAATGGTTTTATTTAAATTTTGCAAAAGAATTGCTTTTCGGTAATAATATAATTTTTATTTTAGCAAATATTATCTTATTATGATTGAAATATTCTGATATAATTTTTTTTCCTAATATGACAAGGTTTATTTAAGAGTGTGATTGATTCATTTTAAATGCTTGTCAAAAGTTATTAAAACAGATATTTTTTATAATTGATGAATTTCTATTTAATTACAATGCTTTGTTTTCCTTGAATTTAAATTTCTATCTTACTTTATTGTGATTCTTTCTATTTAAAATTCCAAAGTATCAAATTCTTGGTTTGTGTTTCAAAATTTAATTTGAAATAATTACAAGAAAAAAAGGAACAAACTCATTGATATTAATGATTTGGCGCTATTTGCTGCTAATGATGATAAGATAAGAAGTTGGATAAACTGTCAAATTTTAACTGTCAAATTTGCAAAAATCTAAATATTTGCTTCATATTATGAAAAATTCTTCTGCTCAAAAAATCTAAAAAATTGACTTGTTGGAATGTCACTAGAATGAATGAAATTTCCTTTCAAAATCACTGATGCGCAAATGATCAGCAACCGATCATTGAAGACTTAACCTTCGTTGCAGTACTTTATTGAATATTATATTGAAAAGAACTTTCTTCTTTCATTCCTTCTTTAGTATGCATGACATTTATGAGAAGTGCTAATATTTTTGCGCCCATTAATCCAACAGTATAAATTTTTGAGATAACTTTTTGATCAAAAAGAATGCTCGTTTGTAGTGATAATTAATTAATTGTTAAGAAATGAATAAAATTATAGTTTGCTTAAAAAAAATTGAAGTGCAAAATGATAGTGAAATTAAGTGAAAAAATGCA